TCCACTGATGAATGCCACGTAGTTTTCATAGTGCACACGCATTGTTTGGGCATGGTGCTGCTGAACTCGGAGAGGAGCAGGGTGGAGTGGGCTTATGATGTTGCGCCATGCGTCAAAGCGTAGCCTCTCGCCACCCTTATTAACAAAGATTAAACTATCATTTCTCCTTTCAGGTACAACGACCTGCTGGATGCCGACGCGGATTCCCGGCTGCTCGACGACGACCAGGTGGAGCTGGACGAGGATTCGCCGTTCCGCCGTAACATGCGGGGCCGCCTCGTCCCCGCCGGGGAGATGCCCGAGTCCATCGCCAACCTCGACCTGCGCGGCGTCCGCCTGCCGGACGGCTCGCGCCTCCGGACCCGGATCTCACCCCGGCTACGCCGCAAGCTGCAGCACTTCCTGTGGGCCTACACGGCCTGCCCCGTGCAGCGGCGCTGGCGGGACCTGGGCGTGCGCTTCTGGCCGCGCTGGCTGCGGGAGGGCCACTGCCCGCCCTCGCCGTGCTCCATCCCGCCCGGCATGCGCTGCAAGCCCGCCGCCACCCGTCACCAGGCCCTGCTGCGCTGGCACTGCCGGCCGCTGCCCACCCTCGTGCTGCAGCACGGCCTCGGCCAGCACGGCCTCGGCCAGCACGGCCTCGGCCAGCACGGCCTCGGCCAGCACGGCCTCGGCCAGCACGGCCTCGGCCAGCACGGCCAGCGCGGCCTTGGGGACGAGCGGCAGGAGCAGCAGGCGCCCGGGCACGCCCTAGAACAAACGGCCACCCGGCACTGCACCTGGATCAAGGTGGAGTACCCCATCATCACCGAGTGCTCCTGTGGCTGCGCTGAGGACCGCTACTCGTAGCATCCCCGTGCCGTCTGGCCATCGCAGGGACAGTTCCTCGACCACCCCAGGATGCTGTTGGTGCCGTTGGCGGCCAGCGAAGACCGCAGGAGCCGTGGCGGGCTCATCAGCCAGACGTCTGCCAGTGCCAGGAAGAACGTTCTCACCTTCCCTCAAATCGGCCAACGAGGAAACTCCTCCGCTGTACCGTTATGACTGCCAATGGTTCTTTGACCCACGCCTCGGCGAGGCACTTCCCTACGTGGGCCGGTGCAGCAGTGATGAGGATAGTAGGTTTGTTTGTCTCTCTTGCATTTCAAGCGGGAAATACTCGTCAGAGGTACTCATTCAAAAGACGGAAACAGACGCTGGAGGCAGATTACAAGGAATGCCTAGCAGCAAGCGTTACCTGATTAACTGAGGGTGAAAAAGATATGCAGGCCTGTATTTTTATTTAAATAAAATTGGTGCGCCTGACATGAGTGAGAGTTAATGTGCATGTGTGTGTGTGTGTGTGTGTGTGTGAATAAGTATATCGTATCATTGCAAGTCACAAACAAATGTATTTATAGTCCTGTCTTGTTCCATTAATGAATGCAACATTTGTGACAGAGCCAAACATTCCTTTATTAGTATTAAGATTTGATGTACAGTTAGCTTTAAATATAGATAACAGTTCTTTTCTATTTATTGTCATCATCAAAAGATGCGATTTTCTCTATAAATGCTTACTCTTTGTTTCATTTAGAATTTTGATTCCTGATGACATTGACTGATTTGTATTGTGGCAGACTGGGTGGGAAAAGATGTGATGCTCTTTTTGTTTAAGAATGAAGACAAAAAGTGATAAATTAATACTAATGTTAATTATATAACAAGGTCTGATTTTGTATTGACACTGAAGGCATGAGCATAGTAAGAGATATCAGGATTCTCTTAATGTTGAAATATTCCTTACAACTTGTTTTGTGCATTGTACACGCCAAAAATTGAACTTTTAAGTCATACACCTCAGTTCTGGAAAATATTTTTGAAACTAGTGAGACCAAAATGCAAGGAAAAGTAAGATGCAACCTAGATTGCACTATAAATAAAATCTGAAAGACAAATGCTGTGTGTATCTATACCCGTCTGAATTTCAAGGTTTAATACATCTAAAATGTTAACAACCCCTACAACCGACATGATCCTACAACCTACTGTCTAGCATTTGACATTTTCTTCAATGTTCCAGTCACATTGAGAACTAAATGTAGAAAAATGTCATCACGGCGTCGATTTCGATACTTCTGAATTCCTAACAGCATAAATTATTTTCAAATATGTGGAAAACTAAGTGTGAAGTTTCTCATCGGAATTTTATAAATATTTCAAACTCATGACTGCAGCAAAACCTAGCGGAAATCACAATTTGTCCCCTGCTGACTTGCGAGTAGGCACGCCCGTCGCACCCGTACTCGGAGCCGGCTGTCTACCTCAGCCCCTGCCACGCCTGTAACGTCCCGTTCGCGCTTTCCCGCCCCTCGGCAATGCATTGCGCACATCTTAGACCCACATTAATTTGGTTTGGTGAATGCTTTTGATGTCTCGTTACAACACGTGGATGGCTCCATTCAATCAAATTAATATTTTCTTCTGAGCATGTGAAAATGTAGGCGAGGACATCTGTTCCTGGGGCAATGGTATCTATGATCCAACTTGACTTAGATAAAATTATCCAATTTATTACACAGATATTTACAAAGAAATTAGCCCACATTACATAACATGTTGATTTTAGTAAAATAAAAATTTTAAATATATATATTTACAAGATTATCCATTAATAAAATACACACAGGTAACTTCAGTTATTACCAGAGAGCGGCTTCCGCGGCGGATGCAGTTTGGAACGGAATTTCTTCTCTACAATTTCTGTTGAGTTCTCTTTGTTGGCCTGAAATAGAGAACGAGTAAAAACAGTGTATTTGAAAGCAGCAGACAGGACAATCATTGAATATTACACACTAGCAGTAAGAAACTACTTACCATGACCTCACCATCAATGAGGCTTACATCTGTATCAGTGTCTGAAATATTGCTGTCTGACTTTTCAGGACTCTGAAAAAATGTAGAATTATACATAAAAATAATGAAGGAATTGACAACATAAAAAGAGAGAGAAGGAAAACAAAAAAATAATTTTGTCGTAAAAATAGAACTTAATTACAGAGATTATTTTAATGTTGGGGTAACACTTCTATCTTAGTACAATTGGCTGTAAGAGAACAAGTATTGATCAAAGTGCATTCTAAACCTCAACATGTCGTGTTGATGGGTATGTGCAATGAGGACAAGTCAAGAGGGTTCATTTGGGTAGAAAGTACAGGGAAGATATGGTCATGTGAGGCGCACGCGGTGCAGTCAAGGGGGCGGGGCCAGCCCGTAGCCCGCACTCTTATACAGGCCCCGTCAATGGGGCCCAAAGCAGGGGCCGAGCTGAGATATGCTACACTGAGGACGAAAACCTTCAAAGAGTTCTTTACAATTAAATGTGAAAAAAGTGTTCATGGTTAAAACAGTACCCAAGGTTCTGCAAAATTTGTTAAGAGTTCTCAAACTAATTAATAATGTTAAAACTAAAATAAAGTTCATTGTTGAAATTACAGCCAACCCTTCCAGTTTATGATAGTTTAAGTTTCATGGATGTAAGTGTTGTGTGTTCTGAGATGAAAGTGAACATCTTGAGCATTACACTGTACTGAGAACAATACTCGCTCTTCTTACCACCAAGTCTACACCTAGAATGGTTGGCTGGAATGGTTAAGACAGAAGAAAAAGGCACTTGCCTTGCCCAACTTACCATCTTAGACAGGATACGATACTTGCTTCTCATACGTGAGAGAATTTTTTCATGAGGAGATGTTGCAGCCAGGTTACGAGGTATGCGTAATTCAGAGCGTAAAGGTGTTTTACCTGGAAATAAAAATGAATTTAAATATTTTATAGGGGTTTTTAGTGTACAATAAAACTTGTTTAATAGATATGAAATGAGAGCAAACCTGTAGGGGTAGCTGGCTTTGCTCCAAATCTCTCAACATGCTCAAGAGCTTCTTCATATTCATTCACTTTCACAGAAAGTTCAGTTTCAAGCTCACACAACATGCGACGCATGTCTGCAGTACTGCTCTTAACCCCCATGTTCAAATTTTCAAGAGAAGATACTTGATGGGAAATGTGATTTTGAATATCTTGTTCAGATGAGATAACCATGTCTCCAATAGTCTGAAAAATATTAAATTACTTGTTAAGTACATATATAATACGAAAAAGAGATCTATCTTTTAAATGAACCTTTTTACCTTTGTAATGATATTGCTGGATGACTCAAATTCACTGTAACTTTGAATGTGTTTGAGGAAATGGTCTTCAACATTTCTTTTGAACTCCTCTGCTGAAGTTTCCAGACTTTTAACTTGTTCTGACACAATATCCATCTTCACAAATTCAGGGCTCAATTCAATCTAGTGGGCAAAGGCAGAGTTGAGAAAAAAAGTTTTGGAAAAAAAAAAAATTAAGAAAAAAATACATTTGTAAATGTCCTAAAACTAAAACTTGAACAGTAAGAGCTAAAAATTGTTCATTAGATTATACATTGCATGTTTTAGCCTTGTTAAACAACTGTGTCACAAATCAGAATAATACTAATAATTTCATGAAAGACATTTGTTTTAGACATACCATAGTTACTTCTTCAGTCAAATGTTCAGGTATTATGTCTAATGTTTCAATCAGCTTTGAGTGAGCAGCCTCCTTTTGCACCTTTCCAAATTCCAGGCCTGATTTCCACAGAGTGTGTACTTCGCTCATTTTAGTTTTCAAAGTAGCAACATTATTTTCAACAAGATTAGAATTTTTTTCAACTAGAGCTACTTCAGTTTCATCCAAAGATTCTAATTCTCCGAGTATCTGTGAGAGTTTGTTGAATTTCTCCTCCTTTTCCTGCAAATTATAACAGATAGAATAATTAGTTAAAATGAGGTGGCAAAAGCAACAGAACAGTGTATCATTTCCCCCCCAAATTCCCTGTTTACTTCTTATACATGTGTGTTTAAGAATAATCTTTCAGTCAGACACATCAGAAAAGAACAAAGGATATTGTACCTGTTGAATTTTCAAATAAGACTCATAAAATTCCTTTTGTACAGTATTCACTAATGTCTCTTTTGAAGAATCCACATTTTCACAAATTGGAAGCAGAATACTTTCAGAGTGAGTCTGGCTTTCATCATCCCAATCACATAGAACTTCTCTCACATTTTCTAAGTCAATTGACAATTTTAATTTTGTTCTATCTGCTGTGCGTTGTAATTTATCATAGATGCAATTGTTGAAGGTAGTGGCTTCAGCAAGCTGTAAAAACAAACAACACAAATGTTTTAGTATTTATCAATTTGAAACTGACATTTTTGATCCAGAGGCTATACAGGTCATTATAATTTTAAATGTTACAAAACATGCCGAAAGATTTACTTACACTTTTCCTTAACTCATCATTAACTTCTGATTTAACAGTCAAAAAGTTACTTTGTGAGAGTTCAAGACCATCCAACAACTGCACATCATTGCTGATCACATCATTCAGTTTAGAACTCAGTAACATAGTTTCTTGACAAATATTGTCCCATTTACCAAGAGCAGTAATTGTATTATTAGCATGATTTTTAACAACGTTCAATATTTCTGTTGAAGTAGATGACAAACTAGTAACTTCATTAGCAAGAGAAGAGACTTTAGAATCAAGAAGAGATTTGCTCTCATCAATTCTGAAACAAAAATATATGAATCAAATTCAGGCAAATGTACAAAATTAAGATATGCAGCTGCAGGATTAACATACAAGTCATTGTTTTTCCTGCTAAATTCTTGAATGGAAGATTCATTGCGCTGAGATGCGATACGAGTCCGATCTACTTTGTCAAACAAAAGTGCAGCATTATGAGAGTAGTCAAGAGATGTCTTGTGAAGGGTGTCGGCCTGAGCTGTTAGATGCTGTAGAGTTTCCATATGACACATCAAGAGATAATCTTTCTCTGCGGTATCCCTTACGATATCATTAGTTTCAGTTCTTAATTCTGACAAGACTTTTATCTGTTCATCTCTAACCACAGAGCGCTCCTGAACTTCCGCTTTCACTGCTTCAACTTCAGATACCAGCTCATCTAAAAGCAACTGAACAGAAAATGTGATTGGTTGTCAAACCATATAGCATAAAAAGAAACACAAAATTAGTTTTGTCTTAAATTACCTTTTTCTTTTCATATTCTTCAGTTATGACTGTCATTTCTTGCTCCTTGGCTTTAATTTCTGTCTGGAGTTGCTCTGCTATGAGGATCATGTTATCATATTCGGCTTGATCCAAATAGACCCCAGTGCGTTGCTGTGTTGCCTCCAAATCACGTTGCAGTCTTTCAATTTCTTCAGAGTACTCCTTTAACATCGTTTTCTTGCATAGCCTTTGATTAATTTCTGGTTTGTTCTGAATGTTTTTAGCTCGATGAGCGTAATCAAGGGTGCTGAGGGTTTCTTCAAGATTGCAGGAAGATGGAGACACTGTTGCAATAATAGAAGTTTTGGTGCGACCTCCAAGTGACTCTTGAAGAATACGTGTAAGCTTAGACTCCCTAGAAAGTAAAGGAAGTTAATTATTCCCAAACTATCACTAGTGCCAATAGTAAAAAAATATCAATAATAAAATGCTTCAAACCTGTATGGTATGTGAGGAGAGTGATCAACCAGTGCAGTAATAACACGACCTAAAGTAAGAAGTGACTGATTGATATTTCCTGCTTCCCTGGCACGTTTGTCCATGGCCCCTGATCTGCCTATATTTTCAGAACCAGCAAGGTCAACAAGATTCATTTTCCCTGTGCGCATGAATTCCTCTCCGTCATTGGCTGATTCTCTAATATGTACAGTGACAGAGAAAACTGTGTGAGAACGACTCGAATGAGCGTTCATTAAAGTGGCAGCGGTCTGTCTTTTGAGAGAGCCCTTTTCAAGAATTTGGTAAACATCTGCCTTTGACTGAACAGAAACTTCTTCTAAACCATGTACAATGACAGCACCTTTTTTGTTACCATCTTCAAATATCCTACAAAATTAGATTTGATGAAATAAAAATGCCACACATGTTACACTGCCACTTAACAGATCTCATGTTTCAAACCTTAATTTTGTTGTGTCCTCCGCTGGTGACAAGAGATCAAAAAGCTCTTCATTATATAGCTCTAGAAAACTAACTTTCACGCAGAAATCCACTTGCAGAAGTCGCAGTTCATCAAAGAGCTGGCTTAAGGTGCGAGGCACAATGCCAGCAAGTGGATCATTTTCCCAAGACACAGTGCTTGAATTTGGAGATCTCTCACCCTCCATGGTAAAGGTTTTTCCGGTCCCGGTTTGTCCATAAGCAAACACTGTACAGTTGTAACCACTGAGAACTTCGTCAATAAGTGGTGCAACCACTGCCCGATAGACATCAATCTGTTAAGATGAAAAGTTAATAAAAAATAAGACATCAAACAATAGTGGGCAGTAAGATAGAAAGTGAAAACTTGAAAAATAGTAATGATAATATATTTCAGGAAAATCATTACATTGAAACAAACTTACTTGTGCTGAGTTCGGTCCAAATACATTGTTGAAAGTAAACTTTTTGTAGGCATTACTTTGCTTGCTATCTTTCACTGAGATTTCTGTATCAGACTTAACTTCTACAACGGACCTGGACTTTGTCTCATTGGCATTGGTGGGTCTGACATCAAGAAAAACATATTAAAAATATAAGTTACAGGTACAATTTGAATGAAAACAACACTATAAACATGCTCTCAGATTAACAGCTGACTTACCTCACTCTCACAAACACTTGAATATTTTGGTTGCTATCTTTCGATTTGGAGGACATATTGAAAAGAAACAGGTCCAAAAGCAGTGCTCAAATTCAATAAATGTTTCATTCAATCACAGAAGCAATAAATATATCGTCACAGAAGACAAACCCTCACATCAAACCGACAACCAACAGCCCAACAGGCTAACGGGCTTTTTGAATTTACATGTGTACCAAGCGTACGACAAAAAACACGTTAAGGCAGTTAAAAGCTAGTGCCTCATAAACTCTTCACATATTTATTATTTTATTATTATTTTATCATTCATTGATAATTCTTTAAGTTTTGTGTCCTTCTTGCTACCGAAAATCAACTTCCTTCGACGTGGATCTTCGTATACTCAATGGTTGGCATGACACCATTTCAAAAACAAAACAAGAAGAAGAAGTACCAAAACATGATTGCTTTTCGTGACGATAGGCGACGTTTCTGCTGAAGGAGTCAGTTTTTGTTTGGGCGTTGTCAACAAATCTAAATCGACGAGGCTGCATTACTGAATATATCGGAAGCGGTCTAAAAGACCCTCCCGTGATCATGGCCGCGCCGCCGCCGCCGGGTCTGGCTAGCCGCAACAAGAAGCATTTTCTGGGAGTACCTGCACCACTAGGTTATGTTGCTGGTGTCGGCCGAGGTGCGACTGGTTTCACTACTCGTTCTGATATCGGTCCCGCTAGGGATGCCAACGACGTTTCCGACGACAGGCACGCCCCTCCAGTCAAACGCCGAAAGAAAGACGAGGAGGAAGACGAAGATGAGGACCTCAACGATTCGAACTATGACGAGTTCTCTGGGTACGGCGGGTCTCTGTTTAGCAAGGACCCTTATGATAAGGATGATGAGGAGGCTGACTTGATCTACGAGGCCATTGACAAGCGCATGGACGAGAAACGGAAGGAATATCGTGAGAAGAGGCTGAGGGAGGAGCTTGAGAGGTACCGTCAGGAAAGACCAAAGATCCAGCAACAGTTCAGTGACCTCAAGAGAGACCTCATCACTGTCGATGAAGATGAATGGAGGAACATCCCTGAAGTTGGTGATGCCAGAAATAGAAAGCAGCGTAATCCAAGAGCTGAAAAGTTTACACCTTTGCCAGACTCTGTGCTCTCTCGCAACCTTGGAGGCGAATCAGCAACTTCCCTAGATCCTTCAAGTGGACTTGCAAGCGCCATACCAGGTGTAGCCACTCCTGGTATGCTTACTCCCACTGGTGATCTTGACTTAAGAAAAATGGGCCAAGCCCGTAACACACTCATGAATGTCAAGCTGAATCAAGTTTCTGATTCTGTGGAGGGACAAACCGTTGTTGACCCCAAAGGGTACCTCACAGATTTGCAAAGTATGATTCCCACATATGGTGGTGATATTAATGATATCAAGAAAGCCAGGCTGCTGCTGAAATCTGTGCGCGAAACTAACCCCAACCACCCTCCAGCATGGATTGCTTCAGCTCGACTCGAGGAGGTCACTGGTAAAGTTCAAGCTGCTCGTAACCTCATCATGAAGGGGTGTGAGGTGAACCAGAAGTCAGAAGACTTATGGTTGGAAGCAGCACGACTTCAGCCCCCAGACACTGCCCGTGCTGTAATTGCTCAGGCTGTTCGTCATATTCCAACTTCTGTAAGAATATGGATTAAAGCTGCCGCACTTGAGACAGAGACAAAAGCAAAAAGAAGAGTTTACCGTAAAGCTCTCGAGCACATTCCTAATTCTGTACGTCTATGGAAGGCGGCAGTTGAGCTGGAAGAACCTGAAGATGCTCGCATTCTTTTAAGTCGAGCAGTTGAATGTTGTCCCACAAGTGTGGATCTGTGGCTAGCCTTAGCAAGACTTGAAACTTATGAAAATGCTCGAAAGGTACGTGTTTACTTCTGAATCTATTTTGTTATTTTATTTTACACTGTTTACCCTGCTTTAATAATAATTTTGTCTTCCTAAGGTACTTAACAAAGCCCGCGAGAATATACCTACTGATCGCCAAATTTGGACAACTGCTGCAAAACTTGAAGAGGCTAATGGAAATGACCACATGGTAGACAAGATCATAGAAAGAGCAATTAACTCCCTCAGTATGAATGGTGTAGAAATCAATCGAGAGCACTGGTTCAAAGAAGCTGTTGAGGCAGAGAAAGCTGGTTCTGTGCATACATGCCAAGCTCTTGTTAAAGCTGTTATTAATCAAGGTGTAGAGGAAGAAGATAGAAAACACACATGGACAGAGGATGCAGATAGTTGTGCTAGTCAAGGAGCATATGAATGTGCTCGTGCTGTGTATGCTCATGCATTAAGTGCATTCCCAAGTAAAAAATCAATTTGGTTACGTGCGGCTTACTTTGAGAAAAGCCACGGAACGCGCGAATCTTTGGAAGCTCTGCTTCAAAGAGCAGTTGCTCACTGTCCTAACTCTGAAGTAAGTTCTTCTCTGTTTGAAAAAAAGTTTGGTTGACTATATTTTACATTTTCTAAAATACTATATCCTTACCTATTTTCAGGTATTATGGCTCATGGGAGCCAAATCTCGCTGGCTTGCTGGAGATGTGCCAGGAGCTCGAGGTATCTTATCTCTGGCCTTCCAAGCCAATCCTAATTCGGAGGAGATCTGGTTGGCTGCTGTTAAGTTGGAGTCTGAAAATAATGAGTTTGAAAGAGCACGTCGTCTCCTGGCCAAAGCCAGGGCATCTGCTCCAACCCCAAGAGTTATGATGAAGTCTGCAAAGTTAGAATGGTGTCTGGATAATGTTGATGAAGCTTTGAAGTTGCTGTCTGAAGCCATACAGGTAAATTCGTGTTTTCCTAATTCTGTCAATGTATGAAGCAAACATGAGATTTACATATTTCTCTCTTTCTCTCTCTCTCCCTTTTTTTAATTTTTTTTTTCTTTCGCTATTCATACAATTTTATTTTTTTCTTTTTAATTTAAACTTTTCAAACAATTTTTTTTTCTCTGGTTGCCAGGTTGTTCCTGATTTCCCAAAACTATGGTTGATGAAAGGACAGATTGAAGTTCAGAAGAATCAAAAGGATGCTGCTAGAGAAACTTACAATACTGGTCTAAAGAAAGTTCCTGCTGGGCAGTCAGTTGCTTTGTGGTTACTACTAGCACGCTTAGAGGAAAGTTCTGGCCTTCTCACTAAAGCACGATCTGTTTTGGAAAAGGGTAGACTAAAGAATCCCAAAAATCCTCAACTGTGGCTTGAAGCTATTCGAGTTGAATTTCGTGGTGGTCTTAAAGACATTGCCAATACGCTGATGGCCAAGGCCTTACAGGTAATGGATACATTGTGATATATTATGATCATTGTAATCACCAGTCCTGTCCTGTATTAATCAGTTCTCCTTTTTTTTCTAGGAATGCCCGAATGCTGGAATATTATGGGCGGAGGCAATATTTCTAGAACCTCGTGCTCAGCGTAAAACAAAAAGTGTGGATGCTTTGAAAAGATGTGAGCATGACCCGAATGTTTTGTTGGCTGTTTCAAAATTGTTTTGGTGTGAGAGGAAGAATCAGAAGTGCAGGGACTGGTTTAACAGGACAGTAAAGATTGAGCCTGATCTTGGGGATGCTTGGGCTTACTTTTACAAATTTGAATTACTGAATGGAACTGAAGAGACTCAAGAGGATGTGAGAAAAAGATGTATAGCTGCTGAACCCCACCATGGAGAAGCTTGGTGTGCAGTTTCTAAAGACATTAAGAATTGGAAAATGTCAACTGAAGAAGTTCTTTCAAAATGTGCAAGAGATTTGCCAATTCCCATATAGATCAGGCTTAGCTAAACTGATCAGTCGATATTGTTTTAATGGGAATTTTGTTGCTTCTTTTCCTTGTGATGAAATTGATGAAATTGTTGTACCGGTCACACAGATCCAACGATGCAAAGAAGCAGGTGGCTTTAAAACTCCTAAATACCATTATTTAGGTCCATTGCTTTGTGTAAATAAGCATTACTCAGTTGGGTAACACAATATTATTGTTCTACATATAACATGAAGATACATTTACATTGTATATTGTCTATCAAACAAAATTGGTCTTTCTGTTACATATGCACTAAGAACTATATAGTTTCAAGAAAATGTTAGAGAATCAAAATACAGTACATGATACTACTAAACTACAAGCAAATTTTATCAGTCTTCAACCCTGGGTAATCTCACTCTTTTTTCTGATTTCAGGAAAATCAGTTTAAAGAGATTTATAAAAAGATGTGGTTTGCATGCTGGCAGTGTTTAATATGCAGGTTAGGCTCACAGGTATTTATCCTTTCAATTGTACCGTAGTACAAGTTTACAGCATTTTTAGAAGAACAACATCAACCAATGACCCTGCTGGTAAAATGCAGAATTGGTCTGAGGATGGCAGAATAATGAAGCAGTTAGAACTTAAAAAGCTCAATAGCCTGCTGCTCAGCTGATTTCCTGAAATTGAAAATTAAAAAAAATAAAGTAACTGAATGGTACAGAACACGTCTTAATCTATAAAAGACAAAGAGGTGTGTTACCTGTACTAATCACTGTAGGTATAGCTTCTCCAGGAACCCATTTTAAAACAGCTCTATGATATTCTGGGCGTGGATCTAAATGGAGCTCCTCAGTGATCTAGACAAAACAGTGATAAATAGTAAATAGTATTTATTTTTACCAAGTACGATATTAAAATGTATGTATGTGGAATGCTATAAAAGACTTGTACCGTAGCTTTGATGGTTGGTGGCATTGGGTTGGAATATCCACATATTTTTCTCAATGCTGGCAGCACAAATAGGTGACTTGTCACAGTTGCAGAGACAGGATTTCCAGGTAAACCAAAAACCAAGCGTTTTTTACCCGAATAGTCACAAGTTGCGAATGTAGTGGGTTTCCTGGCAAATTGTAACAATTAATAGCTTTTAAAAGCCAAAGAGTTCATAAAGTAAGACAAGTTGATGGTATTTTCATTACCCTGGCTTCATGTTGATTCGTCCAAAATGTAGTGTTGCATTCAAATCAGTTGTCAAGATATTTTTCAGTAGATCTCTTTCTCCCATAGACACACCACCAGTTGTGACAACTACATCAGCATACGCCAAACTTTTCTGTAGTGCATCTAATAGTGCTTGCGGTCTGTAAAAATAATCATATACCAATAATAGCAATGTAAAGTACCACTTAATCAGGGTTTCTGGGTGGAAGAAAATACACACTCATCAGGAGCAATGCCCATGTCCACAGCAGAGAATCCGTGTTGTTGAAGCAGGGCCAGGAGAGTGGTTTTGTTGGAGTCCCTAATGTGACCAGCCTTCAGAGGCTCCCCCTCTTTGGGATCTTGGAGTTCATTGCCAGTTGAAAGTACAGCAACTTTAGGCGACCTATTAAAATACCGGGTATTAATTTATTATATTGGTGCAATTATGAACTCAGATATTTTTCTCATACATATGTATGAAGATGATTTACCTGTAGACCAAAACTGATGTCACTCCTACAGTAGCCAGTAGTCCAAGCTCAGCTGGTCCCAAAACGCTTCCTGAAGCCAGAACCAACTGTCCTTCTTGTATATCACTACCTACTGGTCTGTTCCAATTTAATTTAAGAGGTGACAATGTGATGAGTTAAAACAGTTACGTGGGAGAAAGAAATTACCCTGTATAATTACCTGATATCCTCTCCAACTTTAGGAATTTTCATTATGTTTATCTCCAGCTCTTCAGTGTTATCAGCTGACGCATGTACCAAATGAGTGTCTTCCACCTGGACCACACTGTCCGCTCCAGGTGGCACCGCGGCTCCGGTTGTGATACGAACACACTGATTGCTCTGCAGAGGAACCCCACCCGGCTGCCAAACAGATTTATGGAAAACTCAGGCATGACTGAAAATTGGAACATTTACTAAAGCTCATATCAGTGTGTTGTCAAACTTACCACTTGTCCGGCCGCTGATGAACCAAGAACTGCTCTCTTACCAGAACCGTCTGCAGCTATAACAGCATATCCATCCTTGATTGAGGCAGGAAATGGTGGTAGAGGGTCTTTAGCATAAACGTCTTGAGCAAGGACCTGTCCTAGTGCTTCCCTGAGGATGAGACATTAGACAATTCAGATTAATTCAAAATGGATTCTAGTACAAAACAACACTATACCTTTGCTAGATCTGTATCCTTCTCATTTAAGTCAGTAATCAGATCAAGAATGACACACACCATAATGCTGAGTCAACATCATACCTGAAGTACAATTTTTCTGTTCCAAGCAAACTTGCAGCACTTAGAACCTTGAGTTGAGCTACTGCTACATCCATCATTGGGTAGGGTGAGTGCCGTGACCGTTCAGCAATCTTATGAGCGTCAACCTATATTTTAGCCAATTTAAAGTCAAACGAGTAGATATTAGTAGTGCACTAAACCACATATGTAGTTATCTTCCTTAGTAGTACTAATTACTAGACTTAAACTTACTTTACTTTCTAGGTGGTTGTTCTCGTGAAGGTGACGGTGGTGCTTGTGGTGGTGGTGATGCTGGTGGTGGTGATCATGTTTTCCACAGCCACTTTGTGAATGCTGGTTTGGCTTGCTAACAGTTTTTATTTGTGGTTCAGATGATTGTATCAGTTTATGAGTGGCACCCACTTCCAAAGAATTATCAGACAGAAGTGCCACTGCATGTGTTAAGCAGGGACTAATAGAACTCAGGCATTCTGCTGCCCCTTTTAAGCTACCTGGTAGATTAATGATTAAGGTTCTGTCTCTAATTCCGCTTATAGACCTACAAAAAAATTAAAACTTTAAAATGTAGATAATATTATAAGCTACTACTTCTTGTAGATTTCGGTTTTACATTCTTTACTTACCTGGACAGCATGGCATGGGGAAATGCCACTTCCAAACTGTACTTCATCATTGCCATCGAAATAGCTGGAGTTTCTTTTAAAATTATTTGTCGTGTAGCCTCAGGTGTCACATCTCGTGGGGCAAACCCAGTTCCACCGGTAGTGAGAATCACATTGATCCCTTGATTGCACCATGCCAATAATTTTGCCTAGTTAGGATATATTATTTTAAATACCCTCATGAAATTACCTTGGTGAGTATTAATTCATACTAATAAAAGAAATCCTCACTTGAATGTCTGCCACTTCATCAGGTACACAAGCCATCTCGGTGACACTTGCATTGGGAATAAGAGATCCATCTTCGACTAGGAGCTTCAAGTTTGGTCCACTTTTATCAACCGCTTGTCCATTAGAACATCTATCACTAACTGTAATAAGGCAAAGGAGCATTTATTAATGTAGCATCCAATGTGCTAAACGATCCAGTCTCATATGAAGGAATAGTGCATTATGCCATTCCCTCATCTGAGTCCTGCAACAGGTTAGGTGAGGCGAGACCGAACTATACACACCTGTCAGTACAGCGAAACTGATAGTCGAAGACATGGCGAGTCCTGAATCCCTTCGAGCCCTTTACTCCTTATCACCGTCGGAGGCGGAGTAAAGTTATCTTTTGCGTAACGTCCGGTGGGACCACCCCTCTAAACTGTGTTATGTAAACAATGACCACCTTTCAAACTTCAAATTCTGATGAAAACAATTAGCAAATGATTGAAATTTGTACTTATACGTGCCTGGAAGAAGGTAAGAGATCTTCACTGAGGGGGCTTTTCGTCTGACGTCATGTGATTCACACAATAGTGTCAAAATTTGACCTCACAAGCCACAGCTGGGCGACCGTACATCCCGCTTGCCCTGCCCTCCCTGCTTGGTGCCTGGCCTGTTGCGTCGTCTGCAGGACTGGGGGCCGGCCAAAACAAACAACAGATCCAACACTCCGAAGGCGTAGGTTGTGCCAGATATCTTCTAGAGCGAATCCGAATTCATACGAACTGCTGTAGCGTCAATTGTCTAAGCTTTTGGACTGAGGGTTAAGACCTGTTCCACCAAATCGGAGTGGCGCTGGCGGCGCGCCGTTGGCCAGACTGAATTGAATTCCAGCGCGAATAGCCTCCCCTGTTAAAAAGGCGCGCATGTGAGGTCCAGGTACAGACTTGAGAAAAGGGTACAGAGGTACAGGACCACTTGGGTCCAAGCAGGCCGTCCAGGCCCATTTTTTAGCTCGAATTGAGCAGCCAGAACTCAGCGCAGCGTGCGTCCTAAACATGAGACGATCATCTTTACTGGGTGAAACCGTCAACACACAAAATTGTTGTAAACTTTTTATACGAAGCTTATTCAAAATGTACCTGCCCAGGTAGCAGAGCCACACCTTGAAGGCGCATTGATGCGCCTAAAATGAGCTTAAAATAATCTTAAAATGCGCAAGAAATGCAGGCCTTCTTAGATTTTCGAATACACAATCATGAAGAAATTGTTCATATTTGTGCAAAATTTGTCCGTAACTGCGTATTATAAAGAGGATGTCGATTTTTTTTTTAAATTAAAAAATTCACAACCATTTAGTGTGTTAACTTATTCTGAGGGCCCCTCGCGAGTCGGCAACCCGCACGCACGCTTTGACTGAAGTTACGCATCATGCACAACTGCAGAACCGTTCTGCACTTAGATTTGCAAGAGCAATGGTACAGCTCAGTCCTCACCGCCCATGAGCACCGCGCAAACTGTGTTACAAACACACACTGCCGCATCTCACAACACCGAGCCACCGACTGGCATGGCGATATGGCGCTGGTGATTGCCATCTGCGCTGCATTGGCTCGCAGGGCTCGCAGGGCTCTATCGGCCGTCACAAAGCAGGACGCACATACGGCCGCGCGAGCCGCGCCGCCGAAGGAGATGTAAGCGTTCCCCTGTCCTCGCCGCGCCTCGCCGTGCGGTGCTGTGCGGTGCGGACACTCCGCAGGTTTCCCAATCGGTTGTCTCGTGCCACGCCGCATTGTCCACCAGAGCTGCAGGCCGAGCGGCGGCGGGGAGACGCGGGGCGGAAAGGGGCCTGTCAGCTGTGTGGTGACACAGTCGACACAATCTTTGTTTGCTTCAGAAACTAGAAATACCAACAAACAAATTTGAGTTGTGTGTGTGTGTGTGTGTGTGTAAGCGCTGCAGGTCAGTCTACAATGAAACGTCCCCCGAGGAGGCCGTTGGGCGTCAAACAACGTTCTCTAGCCCAAAGCCCCCGCACTTCAGGGGTGTGCCGCCGACCACACACGGCTGCTTGGCGGGTCGGCCTACCCAGCGCGACGCAGGCGCTATCGCGGCGTCGCCCAGAGAGAACCGAGTGCATTGTGAGGAGACCATCCTTAAGAGTGGCGCTTCAAAAAGCTGACATATTCGTGCCGTAACACATCAGTTATGCACCAAACTCGGAACCTACCCACCCAACCATGGAAGCACTCATTCTCGCCAAACTTGTGGATCTATTCGTCCTGTCGGGACAGTAATATGACGCGATGTCACTGCCGTAAGTCGTACGGGTGCAGATGAAACCCACCACACGGCAAAGTGTTTTGCGAAAAGAACTCTTGCGCGGCGCGGGCCGAGATCAAGAAGAGCGGGAAGGAGCTGCTAGGCAGGCAGGCGGTCCGCGCGGGGCCCAGGGGGGGAATGTCACGTTGTGAGAAAGCGGGAAGGCGATCGGAAGAGCAGGGGAGGGGAGCGTGCCGGGGCTGGCCGGGGCTGGCCGGGCCACGGGCTATGGGGCCCATGGGGCCGCGCGCAGGCCGCTCCGCCATGGCGCCGCGTAGTACCAGAGCGCGCCTGAGCCCGACCGCTGCGACCGCTCGGGACACCAACCGCCGCCGTCTGGAGCGACGGGACCGACAGGCTCGTAGCCGACAGGCCCCAGGGCAGCGCGCGGCGGCCGTGCGGCGCGGCGGCCCCGCAGCAAGAGAGGAAGCTGCAGACGACCACCACCACCACGGAGGAGGAGGAGGTGGTGGAGGTGGGAGCGGCCCGCGAGTGAGTGTGTGCGAGTGCCGCCGCTCGGGAGCCGGGCCGCGCGGCGGAAGGCGAGGCGAGGCGCAACGAACTCCTCCGGTGCCTCCGGTGTACCAAAACACTCGGCCGCCTCTCGCGACCGCGCTCGCTCCCCCCTGTGATGTGAGCGGGGCCACACCGGCTGCGCACTGCGCCCGCGCCCCCCAGAGGACGACTAACCTCACCTCTCCTCACCGACGCCGCCATGGAGGCCCGCTCGGCAGTCGTCTGCATCCTGGTGCTGCTGGCCGGCGCGGCACAGACCAAACACGAGCAGGCCGGAGGTGAGTGAAATCTGTATTGCATCGCGTTCAAAGTTGGAGACGGGATATTGGCAGTATATCAAGGAGGCGCCGGGTGGTTCGGCGTCGTTCTACGTGATCCTTTTTTAAAAGCGTGGTCTCGTCCAAG